GGGAAGCGCGGAAACACCGAATCATTTCAAATATTTACAGTCCATCTGGCCCACTGACAATGGGTGAACCAGATTCTCGCCTTTGAAGAAATCTCCCCGATAAGAAAACATGGGAAAAACAGACCTCTGAATCTACAGACTGAAGCTCAATTAATAACATTTGCTCAGTAAATAACTTTCCTAGCATGGATGGAAGCCCGTGTTCACAAAGCACTGAACAGCGTGGCACCCAAGATGGCTCATTTGTTTGTCAGGATTTGGGATGATTTGGTTTTTTTTCCTCCCCTCAGTATTTCGTACTCACTGGAATGTAATTTAGGATTGAGAGACACTTTTTTCTTTTTTTTTAAATTTAAGGCAGCAGGATTTGTCTTTAAAAGCAAATACCACTAGCAATAAACCACACTATTCCTAGTGCTTGTTACAACTTCACAGGGAAAGCAGCCCGTGCATGGTCTCTGCAGGTCCAAGCCTTCCCCCACTCCCTCTTACCTCCTTGCTGGAGCTGGCTGGGTCACTTCTGCTTGCTTCCACCTGCAGGCTTTTGTGCCGGAGGATCAGGATCTCCTTGGCATGCTCCACGTGCTCTGTCTCTCCGGGAAGGGTGTGCCTGTTGTATGCCGGCCCCTGCATGTTGCACCAGAGAGACCGCTGTTGGACGTGGGACCATCCCTCTCTCCGCAGCAGCATCCCTTCACTGGTGCCTGCATCTCCCAGGGTCCTTCACTCCCATTAACCATCCTGCCTAGTTATTGGGATAAACTGATGCAACCAAGTATGAAAGGTGGGGATGGAGGGAAAAAGCCAGGGAAGGAAGATGGGACTCCAAACTCTGCTTCCTTATGCAAAATTGTGCAAGCGATCACTAAATGACAGGACTGAGATGCATCTCTACTAATCCATGTGACACATCAACTTAGTGCAACTACTCTGTTCAAGGTGCCTCCAGCCGCAGTGCCTCTGCCCAGCCCTGATATTTTATATCAGCCCCACCTTCATATATAAACCATGCAATCCACAGGAACCACAAATCCTGCTTCAAAAGCCATAAACCAACCAAGTTAAATCTCCCACTGACATCAGTGGGAGTAGGGATACCTCTGTCACTACAAGGGGTGAGGCTGGATTTAGGCGGGAGTAAGGGCAAACAGGAGGTATGCCTTCATCTTCATCCCATTCACCATTTCTATAGATTTCCTCCCAGCCTTATCTAGTTGCTTCTCTCAGCTCAGCAAAGGGAGAGGAGGGGGTGGTTGATCCCTCTGTGCTGAGCTGCCCACACCAGCAGCATCCCCAAGGACTCAGTATTTCGTGCATAATCCGTAAAACAAAGGCTTAGGTGGATTTTAAGGGTAAGGGTCCATGTATCACCATGTGAACACCAATTACAACGCACAGTCCTAGGGTGCTGTGTAAAACCTCAGCCAGATTATTCATGAGTTATTCTGTAAACAGCAAGTGTTTTCTATGCTATTTACCAGCCATACAAGTTTCATGGTAAAACTGCCAAGCATTTTTAAAACATCTTTAGATTAATTCTCACTCGCAGCTCACTGACTGTGCTCTCTTCTAGGGGAAAAAGCGCAACGTGAGGATAACTCCAGGAGTTGTGGCAACCGCTGGATCTGCTAACCTGATGCCTGAAGATCCATGTGTTCCTCCTTTCTCCTTTCTGGTTCTGGGTACTGATGCCTAAAATACTTCACGAAATTATAGGCTGACTGGGTGAACCTTTCAAAAGCTGTCATGCTGCAAACAGAAATGTGCCACTGACTTGGAAACTGGATCTGGCTTCACACAGCCAACTATTCTCTGCTCACAAAGAGACATCATTAGTAATTATGTAAATATTCATAACATCTGCTCAGGCTGTTAGGATAACTGAGATAACTTTTGTTATTGGACATCTAAAATACAGATTGAGGGAAGAGTTATACCGTTCTCCTTATTCGGTACAGGTTCCTTGCCAATATTTCCTGTATATTTTCCAGGATATCCGGATTCAGAGTATCCTCCAATTTTTTGTCCGTTATGACAGTCCTGTCATTGTTGCTGCAAAGAAAACCAGAACACCTTATTTTGGGAGATGCACAGCAGCACAACCAGTGTACCCCCAAAGCCCACTGTTCACAGCAGCCCTTTCGGAGCCCACCACCAGTGGACACCACCAGCAGCTAATCCTTGCAGATGGAGCTCACTGCAGAAGGAACATTTGGTATTTGCATCACAGCTGCACCATCCATGGGCTCCCTGGTAGATAAAAGAGCTGTGGGGAGCTGTGGCAGATCAGAACCATCTGTGAGAGATGGGATGGCCATTCTGACAAGCAAATATTTGACCCTGCTGTCTCAGCTGATGTTCATTCTCACTGCTGGTTCCTTCAGTAGGTGTAATGGTGCAAAGCCATCAAAAAATGGTGCAAGAGCATCTTCCTCAGAGCACCATTTCTGTGTAGCTCAGGGGAGATGCAGGTGAGCCATCACATACAAGATCAGAAACTGTGTTCATCAATGCCAGTAGACTGCTCATCCACCTGATAATTTTTCATACCCCCCTACTAATCTTTAAATAGTGTTTACTTTGCATTTGTCCAGCCTGTGTTGCTCCTTCCCATGGGACAGCCCAGCAGGGAAGAGCAGAGGAGGTAGAGAAGTTTGCAAAAGCTTTTCATAACTGTTCCCTCTGGCGGAGGGTTGTGAGGAGTGATGGAATGGGGATGACTGCAGGCGGGCACTTACAGCAAGGATGGGTGAGACGGGGCATGACCCAGCTGCCCTGCTTCTGCCAGCTCGATGGCATGCTTCCGCTCCAGCTTTTCATAGAGAAGCACGATGCTGGATTTTGGCTGATCGTATTCACGAAGCAGGATCTTCTGCAGGTATTTGCTGTTGAAATATTCTAATCTGTTTGAGAACAAAACAAGACATCCTTAGCCTCCTCCCATGGCTCCCCAGCACCTAAATGGACCTGAGCAAGCCAGCAGTTTCATAGTCCATGACTGCCCCATATTCCATTTTATTCCATTACCTCCTTTCCAGAAACCAATGATCGTAGAGTTCAGTTCTGAATTATTTTTGCACTACAGTACATGAGCTAAGATATTAAAACTTTGCCAAATACAATAAAAATTCTTCAAAGTGCCAGATTTATCATTAACTTATCACTATAAGGGCTACAAGTACACGCAGCAGCCCCAAGGGATGCAACAGATTTAAACACTTCCAGATTCCCTCTTGAGCCATTTCCTCTTGCTTTCTGCCCAAATGCGACCCAACCTTTGGGAAAGATTTAGCCAGTATCAAATACTGATGCTCGTTCGCTGCTGACAAGCCTGCTCGCAAGGAGCCTGGACACTCCGCAGCAGCAGTGGTTCCCATACCCTCTAGTGGCACATCCAAGCACCGGCATTCCTAAGAAAATCCCTGCCAGCTGCATTAATCAGTCCTTACCATGAAGTTAGCAGCATCTGTGTCTGCACAGCCAAGGAATTAAACGCGGTAGATTGCCATTAGTATATCTTATGTTCTATGTATTTAAAAAAAACCAAAAAACTTATGTATACAATCTACTTAATTTTTCTTAATGAAAATTGAGCACTTCGCTAGAGAAATCCGTCGAGATCCTCTATAATTTGTCAGTCCACAAGAAGCAGTTGCCCCTCTGAGTGCTGCAAACTCATATTTGTGCTGTTAATTGTGCGCACTCTGGGTTGGGGTCCTCAGCTCCCGCATGGCCGGACAGGCAGGAGGGCACAGGCAGCACTGCGGCAGGCAGGGACAGGCTGAAGCCATACAAACTGTGTTGTGCTGACACAGCCCTTTCATTTTGAGCAGGTTTCTTTTGACAAGAAGGGACAAACACAACGGGAAAGAAGAAAGGTATGTTTTTAGGGTGAAGTACCATACATGACCTGCAAGCAGGGAAGCGCCCCGAGAACCTGGTCTCGCCTTGAACAAGGAAAAGCTGCCCCTCTGTCACCTGGGTTGTGCCACAGGGATGAATAAGGCTCAGCTGCCCACAGTGGAAACTTAAGGAATAGAAACCAGCCTCATTTTTTTCTACACATGTACACAGTTGTATTTTGGCAAATCCTTACTTGTCTTTCCAGTAATACTGTCCCCAGTGTCCACATATATCTTCAATGCCAGCCAGCAAATGATCCAAGAACTAAACAGAAGAGAGGATTTTGCTATACACCGGTCGCATGTATTGCATACGTGATGAACTCAGTCAGCAACCATCAAAAGCCAACAGACAAAACAGGAGATGTTTTCAGCTCGGTACACAGCACCGGTAAACAAGAAGAGGGGATGTCGGGCTAATTCCCCATCCAGTCATCCATGTGTATCCCTTGGTTCTGGAGTACAATAAGTGGTTTTGCTGCTCGCTTTCAGGTCTGTGTGAGCAAAGAATAATCGCTGAGGGACACGGATCTGCTCTTTATGATATCTACAGGATGGCTGATAGATTGCGCGTCCTGCATATTGGGCCTTGATAAGCAGGAAATGCTCATATTGAGGTTTCTGAGGACAATTTGTCTCAGGAGACCAGTATCTTCAGGGTACAGATGTAGATAACGTACAAATGATGCTTTGACTTGAATAAGAAATACTGCCTTCCCCCAGACAGTCCCACTAAATTAAATCATTGACGATATCATGCCTTATACAAAAACATTATTATTGTTTAAAATTATATTAAACATACCAGACAGGTTGTTTTTTTCACCTAGAAGTTAAATCTCTGTAGTTTCCCAAAAATTTTTTCCCTCCTACTGGCATCTCTAAACTGGGAGAGGGCTCTGCTCTACTGTGGGTCGATGCCTCTCCACACTCAGGTACCGATGTCCCTGGAGCTTCCTCCAGCTCTGATTTTTTAAAAATATTTTTTGGGAGGGTCAGAGACAGAAAAGTTTCAGAGCAGTTCACTCAGCCCCGCAGCCTGGTACAGGTTTAGAGTCTTCACATTGCTATTAGCAGCTGTATGGTCTGAGGACCGACAAATGACACCCCCCACCACCACTGATCATCACTCTCGAGAGCAAGAATGTCCTGACTATCAGGACAGAGAAATAAATTTGAGGAAGAGAGCTGCTTCTGGCTTCTGTGTCCCTGATTTCCAACTATCTGCATTGTTACATTCTCTACTTAACTTAATTGGTACAAAGCCATTTTCAGCTCACTTTTCCTAATAAACACATTTCCAGAGATGATTTACTATTCACACGCTAACAAAAGAAGAAAGTATTCTCTGTTCATGATGGGAAAAGACTCTTCAACCTATTGAACTGTTCTGTTAACTTCAGACAAAGCCCTGTAATACAACCTAATTGTGAGGTTGCCAAACAGTTTTTATAAATGTCTTCAGACCTAATGTCTTTATTTCTCGTTACCCAAAAAGAAGACAGAAAATATTCCTGAAGGAACCATACCCACAGAAATGTGACTGGGCATAAACAATTAGATTCAGAAACATAATTTTACATTGGATGCAGATGCAAATGCAAAGCCTCAGCTAGGTGTGCAGAATACCCTGTTTTCGCAGGGAGTTGACCCACTCCCTGAAGAAGCCCTCTATAACTAGAAAGGCCAAAATTTGGATGGCAAGACCAAGGTGAACTAAATTCCACCTTTGGGTTATGGACTTAGAATGATCGAATGGTTTGGGTTGGAATGGACCTTAAAGATCGTATGGTTCCAACTCCCCCCCTGCCCTGGGCAGGTTGCTCAAAGCCCCATCCAACCTGGCCTTGAACACTTGCAGAGAGGGGGCACTTCAGTGGTTCCCTCCAATAGAGTATTAAACTTACCCTCCCTTTTCTAAATATTTTTGCAAAAATATCCATCCAAACTGATGGTGGTAATGGTACTGGTGAACACATGGGAGAACCCACCCCTGAAAGCAAGCAAGTCTCATTTTCTTTCTTTCACTCCTTCCAGCGAAGCAGAAAAGTTAGAGTCAGGTTTGAGCATAAACTTTTGGGCAAGTGATTATCTTTTTCTGTCATGTTTGTACACCACCTAATGCAACACCAGCCTGATTGAGTAGGTGGCTGCTATTCCAACGCAAATAATAACCCATGGTTAGGAGCTGCATAAGACATCAACTCTGGAAAGGGACTGACCTGCAGAGGATTCAGGTAAATTTGCAGACCCGTACATCCCTGGAGGCACACCACATTTCAGAAGGACCATATTGCTATCAGCAAAGCATATTGAAAAGCTCTGGCTGTGTGTTGATGGATGTATCACTTACCCGAATATGGATCTGCTCTCCCACTGTGGGAGCACTCTCTCTTTTCTTCTTGACAGCCAGCAAGTCAACAAGAGGACGGATAGTCATTCCCTGCAAGATAACCACAAACACAAAAAACAGCCTTTCTTCACATCAAGTGTTCTTAGTGTCAACAGGAGGCTTCAGGACGGGGATAGGCAGAGAGGAGAAATGTTCTGCTCTCCTCATCTGGCATCTCAAGACCACAAAAAGTCAACCAAAAACTTCAAGGTCAAGCCTGTGGTTTACTATTGCTTGTAGCCTACCAGACGGGAAGGGGCTTGAAATGTTCAAAGTTCAAATGCCTGAAACAACGATAGTCCTTGAGACTTCACAGCACGCAGCCTCCACCAGCATTTGTCTGCTAACTTTCTGAGTATTTGTGTGTCACAGATCATTACTCCAACGATCTCGGATGTCTAGCCAGTGGCTAAGTTTACTAATCAAAGTATCCACCTGGTGGGAAGGGTCAAGGGAAGAGTTTTAATGTCCTTTAAGCCTCACGAGAGAACTTCTAAAATGCCGCTGTGGTGCGTTTCTTAGTCTGGTTTCAGTATGAAATGACTTTTCTAGGACATGTTTACAGCAAAAATGATGGAGTAGTTGATGTTTATGACTTCTGAATGTCACAAATGCTGGCACGGCAGAGAGTTGAACACATTTTTAATTGCAGAAACAATTAATGTGTCATTTTAATAGCTAATAGCAATAAAAAATGCATAGCTATTCAGAGTAAATAACATAAAACTCACAAATTCAGAAATAACTGATAGTACAAAAATTAAGTAGAGACTATGCAATTTGGTCTCTTGCCTTCACTGGATAATCAGCTGCATTTGTTTTCATTTTAAAGTGACATTTTTGAGTTTTGCAACCAGGACTCCCAAATTTAGAAACACCTGAATTCCCTTGGTCCTTCATGACACTGAGAGCATTATAGGAATCCCATGTGTCATTTTCAGGCCACATATCATTTCACAACACACCTGTCCCCTGTGATGATCTTCCACCCACCAGGGATAACTCATCTGAAGTGCATCACCCAATGCTGATGGCTCTGATGTCACAGCTTACGTGAAGTTTTTCTACTGCCAATGGACCAGTAGCTAATGGGTCAGTGTAGGCAGCAAACAAAAAAAACACCCACAAATCTTTACAATTATATTTGCTAACAATTTCATGGAAGAGGTCAGAGGCCAATAGGCTGACAGAGTGAACTTCAAATGGAGAACGTGGTATTTCATTTTTAAACCGCACTGAAAGGCAGAACAATAGGGCTTTTTGTCACATTCCAGACAAGCCCACAGCTCCTTGGAGGACTTTCTGGTCTACGTGGCGCATATCCAGGCCTGCGTGGAGGTACTGAGGACTTGACAATTGCTCGGTCAACCTTCTCAAAATTATTAACCAGGCTTCTTGTGGGAAGAACCTTATGCAACTGAGTTCGGCCAAAATAGACGAGTTTCCTGGGTTGTGTAATGCACTGATAGACCCATGTACAGACAAGCCCAACTGCTTACATGGCGGCCATTAGTCTGTGTAGCACACAGCTTTTCCGACAGCGTGGTCAGGATTTCCAAGAAAATGAAGTGGGCTTGTGCTCCGACAAGATGCCTTGCTGGCCTTCAGTAGCTTAAAAGGGCCCAAATCATCTCTGCCTTAATTTCTGTCCTATCTTAACACAAACACCCCTTGCCAAGTCTGTACTTACATCACTGTGAATAAAAAGAAAAGTTATTGCACAAAATAACAACAACAAAAAAGAAGTCCACTAGCCACAGAAGTTGTTTTGTAGCTATGTCTCTTGCCCTTTCCACCCAAAGTGACACGCAGCTTGAAAGACGCTGTGATATTTAAGATATTCACTCTTCAACCCTGCATCCATCAATGTGGCTGGCAGCAGTACCACAGACTTCAGAAGCTGTAGGACTCATTTGCAAACCCAGGTTTCTGAAGGCTCATCTTAATACCCGCTTCTGTTATTTTTACCTCTCCTTTCTGTGCTGAGCTACAGCAATATCCTTCTGGTTCAGCTTTCAAGCAAGTTTATTCCCACCCCCCTCACCCTCTTCTTGCGGTGGCCTCAGCTACACAATAGTGCAGGTATCTGGAGCCTGAGCAAAGTCTGTCTTTATGGATGCTACGTTCCCACTGAATGGCTGAAGGTCAAGGGGTCGCCCCGCCGACACGTACCCACAGGGGCACCCTGTTTAACTCTCACCCTTTAGCATGGAGATGACATCACCAGTTGAGCTTTGAGGTTACACAAAAGCCCTTTTCCCGGTCCTGGGAAGGATTTTCCGAAGCCTCAGCAGAATGGAGCTGCTGCCTTAGAACAACCTTTGTCTGAGACTCAAGAGCGTCTATGCATGAGCGGACGTGCCTAGTGACCGTATCTTTTCAATTTCTGACCCACATTTGCATCTTAAAACTTGTCAACCTCCACCTAACTATGCTCCCCCCACCCCTGGCCCCTGCTCTCTCCTTTCACTCTGAAATCTGTGCCTGGTCCAGCTGCCTGTGGGACCCAGCTCCAAGCCCATCGGCACATCAGACTTGTTGACCCTTTTTTTAGTGCATGGTGTGGTGGATGTGGGGAAGTACAGTCAATCCCAACCCTCCGCATTGCCCAAGACCCACACCTGAGGGGTTCAGGGAGGCCAAGCGGAAGGAATTTGCTCTTGTGGGGTGATGCTCAGCCATGGGGCAGATATCACCGTGACCGACCATCTTCCAAAGCCCCAGCAGCTGCTCTGCTCCCTCCATCCGAGGGCAGCCCTGGGTCAGCAGCTCTGCATGAACCTCACGTGCTGGAGCAGAGGACCTCCCGGGGAGCTTTTCTGCACAGCCTCATTCCCAGCCCCCCACGCTGCTCACTTCAGCCTTATGGAGACACAGTCTTAACTTTTTGGGGCAGAGCACACCACGTAGACATCAACCTTGCTCACTTCGGGACCACACGACCCCAATTTTTCCACCGCATCCTTCATCAAGCGCGACAGCCTTTGCCAGGTGAAGGAAAAGGTGCGTTTCAGAGAAACCCTGAGAGGAGTCTCGCCCTTACAGACTTGCTGCTGGGCACAGAAGAGCAGGGAGACACATCCGAAACCTTCATCCCACAGAAGGCTGAAGGAATGCTTTCACCGCTAGATGTCACAGCAACGCCGAGAGCTGCTGAGCCTCCGAGCAGGGCTTCCCTGCGCCCTCAAGCACAACTCCTTACAACCTCAGCCTGTGCCTAAGGGAGAGAAAGCCTTTCTCCATCATACACCCGGAGGAGTGCTAACCAGGAATCCGTGCAAAATAAAAGCATATTAGTAAGGAGAGCAATACCAGCCCCAAGTTCTGCCCCTGCCCCAGCCACAGGCTGACCAGCCCAGGTCCTTGCCTGCTGTACAACAGCAGACAGGGGTCAGATGTGGCTCCTCCCATATGCTCCCCACGAACAGCCCAAGCTGCAGATGCTCCTTCAGCCTTTCTCACAGCAGAAATCAGTCTTAAAAAAAAAAAAAAAAGAAAAGAAAATAGTAAATTCATGCATTAAACAATAAACCAAATATCTCAGAGCAACCAGCGCTGTGAGGGTCCACCTCCCTCTCCTACCAAGGCAGCGGGGAGCTAACACGTCCACAGCCACCCCGTGATGTGGGCAGGTTACACTCACTTGCAGAAGTTTTACCACTAGGTAGGAAAGAACCCAAGAATCACTAAGGCATAAAGAGGAAGCAGGAAGCAACAGGGCTTAGGGATCAGTTATAAAAGAAAAATTATAGGCAAACAAATCAAAGGTCCTGTGACTTTTTTTATTTGCTTCTGATTTTCCTTGCTTTTACAACAAGTAACACACCCAATTATTTATTTTTTCCAGTGGAACGGTTAATAACTGCAGCTGCTTTGCTGCATGAATGTGAAAACATCTCATATATATATACAAAATATTTTGATAAACAGCTAATGACTGTTGTTGCTTCAGCTGTTGCAAGCCCCAGTAAAATGGAACTCATTCTCAGAAAATGTTAAGAATCCACTCCTTCAAAATTACATCCTTTTAAATTGTCCCACTTGTGAACTACCAAAACTGAGATGACAAAACCATAAACCTCTTAAAATTCTTGCCGGCCATGTTCAGAGGGTTTAGAATATCCCAATATCTTCCTGGTCCTTTGGATCAGGAAAACTGAACTTCATTCGTGCATGGCTCAGGTAGCATTTCATTTCATGACAAGGCCCACAATAACAAGTGCTTCTTACCTTGCTAAACAGCAAACTATTTGTAGACTTTGATTCGTGTTGGCTTTGCTCTCACAAAAAAAAAAAGCAAAACCAAAACATGTAAAAGCACTGCTTCAGAGAGGAAACCTATGCCAGCATCATTCTTCCCAATTTTCACCACTGCTGCCCCAATAAGGATGGACCAGATCAAAGATGGAACAAGTTATCATGGAAAATGCTAAAGCATATGTTGTAAGTCAACAACTGCTAGTCATCCCCATGAATGTGTGTCACATTCTCACACCTTCTGCCTCTTTCAGTAATAATTTTAAATTTCTATACGCCTAATGGCTTTATGGAGGGACAGTTTTAATGACTGGTAAACCCTTGTATCCATCGTTTAGTACGGGTTACTTGTCTGGGAAAAAAATCATGCTCATTCTTTACATCTGCTGGTGACACTGAGATTGGTTTTACCTGTATGAACACAGTGAAGAGGATGACAACAGTTGTTGCTGCAATGAACAGCTTCTTTCTGCGAAAATCAGGAAGTAAGAAAACCAAAGAGAAACAAATGGCTCCTCGGAGGCCCCCGTACGCTATAATGAACTGGTCTTTGCCGGTAATGGTGTTCACGTGAAATTTGTTCACAAAGAAAGTCAGCACGAGAACCCCTGAAAAGCAGGAAAGAAGATGGGAGCACATCAAAAAAAAAGAGCAATTAGATAAAACTCATAATCTTATGACATATTTTACAGTAAAACATCACAGGACTGGTAAACATCAATCACAAGCAACTGGCCAGGGCCCATGGTGGTGTATTCCCAATGCTACTGGAGAACAGCTTTTCTTCCAGCCTGGTCCAACAGGTTTGCATTTGATTTGTACAGATGAAAATTAATCCCCAACACATTTCTGATTTGGGAGATTACAAATGCCATTGACCCAGTTTTGGGGGCTTGGCACAACTATAAAATTTTCGGTAGCTCACCTTGTAGCAAATCCTCTTGGTTTTTAACTCAGCCGTGTGCTTATCACAGTCCAGCTGGGAAACCAGAGTTTCCATCAGAAGGACTCTGAACTCTACAGGGAAATTTCAGCATTATCCTGCTCCCATGACTGCAGATCCCCAGAACACACTTTTGATCTGGTGCCTCGGTGTTATGCATCAGCTAAATACTGAACAAACAGTAACTGTTGGCAACATAGGAAGTATTAACACATTTATTTTGATGGTAGGTAATTAAAGTTTTCAGGGCTATTCTATGGTCATATGCCAGCCAAAACTTTACTTGTATAATATGATATGGAGCCAGATTCCAAGAACTGAATTGAAATATTGACTTACTCTAATCGGTTATAACAAATGATTGAATTGCTTGGATTATAAATTCTCTCAAGGCAGACCATCAGCAACAATTTAGCCACAAGTTATCCTCCAATTTCCAAAAGTTTCCAAGCAATAGCTTCAATAAGCAGCTATATCCTGCCTGTGTTAATGTTGTTTCTTCACAAATCTTTCACTCAAAGATTTATACTGTATGAATTTAAGACTATGTCTTAAGGCGGCACAGCAATTGGTGTAATTTATAGTTACTTGCCAAAACATACACGGATGCAGAAAGGTACAAAAAGTTAGGCCTTAAATCAGTAAGCTGTGATCTCAATACCAACGGATATGATAAACATCTTATTTCCTGAAGATTAATGGCCATTTTGAGAACTGATGACACAGACTGTCATTGACTTTTGCTAGGAATTAGCTGGATCCATATCACTATTGCTTTTCTAAAGGGTGTTTGTAAAAGAAAAAAACTTCAAAAATAGTGCACTTGTAATGTACGTACCAAACCTCTTCCCACGCACATACAACTAAAAATGTCTAAACTTTGATTGCACATCAGACCAGTTTGAAGAAAACTAAAAAGCTGGGGATGTTCAGGAATAGGGAACTCAATTAACTGAGCCTTACACCTTCCCCGTCTCTGAAGCTCCATGGAGCTGGTGCCTTCAGTTTGAAGGTTCTTTGTAACTTAAAAATAAATAACTAAATAAAACAAAGCATACCTCAGATCACATCTGCAGCTACTGTAAAGCTCAAGCAGTGCTGATGATTTAAAGGAACAAAATTTACTGGAGCCGGTATCCTGGCCTTTGTCTTGATTTAATCCTTCCTCATAAATTATTATTAGCATTCCCTAAACTAATTCAAGGCCAGTTTGCTCCGAGAGATGACATACAATCAATCATTTTGAGCAGAATATATTTTCTTCTGGAGATATACCTTGAGAAAGAGCAGAAGGAAATCTCCCTAGTGCTTGGATAACAGAGGAGTACCAGTGCTGTCACGCAATTAATGTACTTTGCTTTTCTGATTATCTCTCTTATGTCAAAGTAGTCCAGTCCCTGGGCTTCAGCAGAACCCTTTCTCATTTAAGAGCACTGGGAGGGTCCCATAAAGGACTAGAGTACAGCTTACACCCTAACCCCAGCACTATCAACCCAAAAGTCGCCAATTCCTGCAAGCAAACTCTGTGGGTGCCTCACATTTCTGGACCGCACTCTTCAGCACGTCCAGAGCTGCTGGATGGGACTGAGCAGGTCAGGGGCTAATCTCCACCGCCACCTCCACAGGAGGAGTTCCCCAGCGCGGCTTCGTGCGCCACCCTGCCCAGCTCACGTCTTCCCGGCACACCTACCGCTCTCCAGCATGGTGCTGCAGAAAAGGGACAACCTATTCAGGGCCAGATGTGCAAGATGATTTTTCAGCCCTGGTTTGTGTTCATATTAAATTCAAAGGGGATTTTGGATGGAAAGAGGCTTTTCTTTCCTGGCTGCAGCGCTCGCATAATGTGCTGCATAATTTGAGAATACAATCAGAAGAGCTGTGTTTAAGAGAGCCAGAGGATTTTCGGTGTGCTTTTGTAATGTCACTACATTCTTTGTGTCTTGCAATGAAGAATTTTTGAACTAAAAAAAAGTCAAACTCACTCAGAACTTTTTTCATTTGAGCAAATAATTTAAGAGAAAACCACCTAATTGTAATAAAACATTTGAGTGCACACACAACTGATTAATAAGCATGTTTCCAAGTGCATTTATGGTGCATAGTTATTAAAACAAACCTTGGCATGTATTAACAGCTAATAAAGCCCATTCTGCTGTCTTGCTAATCATGGCCTATCCTATTTAAGCAATTTCTTGAAGTGTCTATCAAATTTGAGTTCACTCTGTTTGACTCAGTGGTTTGGAAACATAAATCCTGTTGAATGTTTTTTAGCTCTCAAATTCTTTTCCAAAACGTGTGCTCGTTCTATTTGCAGATATAGTTAATATATAAAAACATCTATAAATGAGAAGATAGGCACTCTGCACTCCCTTAGGGGACAGTAGCTGCACACTGCAAAGGCAGTGGAGAATCAGCCTCTCTGAACACCAAATCAGTGCAAGATACAACTGGGGACAATGGTAAAACAGCGTGTCTATTTTTCTGGTCATTTACAATGCATGAAAATGGGCTCCCAGAGTATTCTGGGACCAGGACTCAGGTTTTCATCATAACTGATCTCAAGAAATTATCTTTAGCCACAGTTATCAGGAGAGTATTTTCATGCATAGCTCTCTTCCTCTTGTTATCACTGAGTCTTGGTCACTTTTTTAGTATGAGGCTGGGCAAACACTGCAATAAGTTTCCCAGGGAGGCTGGAGAGTCTCCATCCATGAAGACAATCAAAAACCATCTGGGTACAGTCCTGCTTAGCTGTCCCTGCTTAAGCAGGGGGTTGGACCAAATGATCTCAAGAGGTCCCTGCCAACCTCAGCAATTCCCCGATTCTGTGCAATTCTGTCATTTTCAGTCCTTATCTGAAGTTCTTGAGTAGGAGCAGAAGCATCCTCACATTTTAGGTCCCAATTCTCACCTACCGAGCAGCAAGCTGGGTAGATGCTCTTCTGTAAAGCAGAACAGCATCTCCAGGGACAGCTGTTTGAAGGTTCCTCCAGTTTCCCATTTAAGGATGCTGCTGTACACAAACTTGTTAGGAATTAAATCCCTTAAATCTGTGCAATTCAGAATACGCAGTCAGAGGCCCCATGGTTTTACACGGTGCTCTGATCCCAAGCTATGTACTTACAATCTCCCTCCTATTGTGAAGATACCAAGGGACTGAGATACACTGAAATGGAAGAGGAGATCATGGCCATCAAAGGAGGCTCTAACACAGAGGTATCAATAAAATAGATGTCATGAGAATTTCTGTTTAACACCAGTGCTGTCTATAGTGAGTGCACAGACTAGGAAATTGCAGTAAAATGCAAGACTTGCTATTGAGCGAGTGATGGAGAAGCAGGGAAGCATTGGCTGTGGTGTCCCACTTCTGTCCTTGCATTCACATGTGGGATAAACACACATCCAGAGCAATCAGGAAAGGATGATGGTGGGGGCAGGAGCATTCTCTTATTTAATGGAATCACATTTTTCACTCCCATAAATAATAATATATATAAAAAAATAAAATCTATAATTTCACCATACCTAGTGCTCTCCAAATGAGACAGAAAATGATAGTGAAGCAAATGTATGGCCAGTTCCACTCATGATTTTCTCCAATGGTGGAAACTCCAAGAAAGATGAAGATAAGGGTATCGCTAACGCTGCTCCACATCTTCATGAAGTATTTGACTGTGGTGTGAGACTTCAGAGAGATGTTGGCCTCCACATAACGTTTCATGCCCATGGCACAAGCAATGATGCTGAGAAAATGAAAATAAACCAACAATTTTTTTCTACTTAAGCACACAAAACTGACACATTGTCATTTATAAAAAAAAATAAGCTTCATCAAGTCTTAGATGTTTGCAGACATCTCACTGGGTAGTGATTCACTTCCTGCATCGGCCAATAATATCAGGAGGACCACCAGCACAATAAGATGACCAGACTGTCTGAATCTGTTTTTTAACAGATAAACAACTCCCATCTATTGCATTTATCATAGCCACACAGCAATACCTACAATTAACTCCACCCAGTTCTTCCCATCACAATACACTGGTTTCAGTTCTTTAACTTTGCCAGGCTCTAACCACCTGAGCTGAAGAGTTTCATGCTTAGGAGCCCACATTACCTATTTTGCCTGAATGACAGAAAGACATTTGGGGGAATGGGAGACTTGCTTCTCAGCATGAGAAATGTGTAAATAGGACTCCTGTGAGTTTGCTGATATCTGACCACTACAGCAAATTCTTGTAAGACTCAGAATCGGTGTAGTTTAAGAGCAGCCCGAATACTGTACTCCTTCACCCAAGGGACCAAAGCTAATCTAAAGTTGGAGAACCTCAAGCGTACAACATACCTCACACTGTATGTTTCTAAGCCTCACCAGGCTTGCACTGTCTATTATTTGGGCGCAGCGAGGAAGCCATTGAGTCCATGCAACCAAGAGACAATAAAATGCTCAAGCACACTCATAAGGTGGGCACAATGAGCCAAGAAATGCTCTTGCTACAGTCGGAACATCTGACCTCCTCAGGTATTGCTTATCCAAGGTCACTTCAGAAATGTGCAGCACCAATTAAAACTTCTGCCTTGCAATTTTTCATGGATAATTGATTCTTCAAGTTACAGGGTACATGTGGTTAGCCTAATTCATCAGCTTTTCAAATCAATACATTTTCAGGCCAGCAATCTTAGAAGGTCAAAACAATTGAGTGCTCAAGACTTGAAGCTCCATTTTTTATATTTTAACCTGGACAGAAACATTTTGTTCTAAATATTGTACCAGCAATAGCAAAAAGGCTTTATGTTTCCAACATCTGATTTCCATTGGCATTTGGTAAGGCCATCCACACAGGGTTTTATTGCGTTAAAAATTCCTTTCACAGGGGATATCATAGTAACTCTTTTTACATTATATCACACGAGGACAAGCCCACAGAGAAGTAGATCCTCAGCTTGCAGGAGTGCACCTGGGTCTGGCAGACTGACTTTAAACCCCAGCTGTGACCAGGACAGGTAAGTGACCCATATAGATGCAAATAGGTGTTGATAGGTCACGGTCTCCGCAGTGTATTATCCATAACGTATCCTCTCAGCTAAAAACTATTCAGAAAACAGCCATACAACTACTGCTTTGCAGTGAAAACATCACATTCAACCCAAGAATTTCACAAAGGAGAGTCTTTGCATTATTTGCGCTTTGATGGAAAAAAAAAAAAAAAGGGTTGCCACCTGGCCCCAGCGAACAGGAGAGTTTGCAAATGGGCAGAGCTGACTGTGCTGTGGCTGCGGTTTTACAACCTGTGTGAAACCAAAGACCCTGATTGTCTCCTCCACAACTATTTTTTTATTTCAGGAAGACCCTGTGAGCCACTGCATTGCCGCTCCTAACCTGCACCGCTGCTAACAAAAGCAGAGTAAGGGTCACTTTCCTTCTGGCACATTAGTGAATCACTAGTACATCTTCACTGCCACAGCTCGGCATCTATCTTTGGACCAAGACAAAGAAATGGACAACAGCTGTATTCATTTCGGCTCTACTTAAAGCACTAAGAAAATCAGCAACATTATTATGGGAAAATACTTATCAGAGATTTGGTTGGAACAACAAACAAGAAATTAGAGGAAAAAACCCCAACCTTTTTCAAATGAAGATACACTTCCACCCACTATGAGTTACTGATCACTGGGCTTTGCATTCAAACAAACAAACAAAAAAAATAACACACACACACATTTCTATTTCTTTCATTTAAAAATAATTGTTACTGGTTTTCCTCATTGCCATGAAAAAAAAACAGTTCTTTGAAGGAGAAAGAAACAATTGGGTTTGTGTGAAATTAAAACTAGAATTCAGGGAGACAACTTGTAGTAAAGGCACAGGATAATTGCACCAAAATTTCAGTGAAATTTTCACAGAATCACAAAATGGTCACCGTTTTATCCAGCAGCGTGAGACCAAGATTCAAAACCCTTTTTCACCTAATGTTGTTTGAGTTCACATCTTTCATCTCCTAAGAAAATGTACCAATACTTAAAAATATTCTGAAATTGGTCTTTTTTGATTTAGCCTTTTTAGATTGACCCACTTTGCATAAGGCACAGAGCCAGAAAGAGTGCAGGTTGAACCACAGGCTAAAAAGAAAATAACAATTTCTTCTGTTTCTCTACCTGCCTCAATAAATAGTGGATAAAATAATTCCAGCTAGGAACTAAAAAAATCCAATGAGTATTTATGGGCAAGTGACTTCCAGAGCTGTGGTTTGGCAACACTTCTTGGGAAAAGGATACGTGTTCACACCAGATTCACATACAAGGAATAAACTTGACGTGTTCTGTCACAACCTCAAAGGAGGGCACTGCCACTAGGGCAAAGGGGAAAAAAAAAAAAGAAGCTAAACTAAAAAACATTTGCAGAACTGTTTAGCAGATTGGGTTGCATTCACAGATTTTTTTTTTTTGGACTATGTAGAATTGATTGTTTTGGCAATCAAACTATTTTTCAAAGAAACAAACTGCCAAGATCTGCTTCTTATAATACAGTATTCCCTGGTCACAAATGAATGAATTGTTTGAAAATCGAGATATATAAAAGAGGCATTTATAATTTGGCAATTATAAGACCAGCAGTGCAGGAATCAGCTTCCTGGGCAATTGTTTTGCTTTAGAAACAATGCATTATTCACAAGACTAGAAAATGGGTTCCATAATGGGTACAGTAGATTGTGATTGATAGAAGGAGACACCATTAGGATTAAATGTTTTCTGCTCCATGATGATTATGCAGCATATTTATTTCACTGTTCTGTCTTACGCTTCTATAAATAGGCTTTCTCTTACCTATTCCCACAGCTAGAATTGTTTTCAGTAATGCTAGAATATTGCTCCTATTAACCGTTCGAGGAAACAAAATCTGCAAGATATAGGAATGGTTTCTGTCCAAAACAGTATCATTAGTTTTAAAATAGATCTTCCAGATACTCCCGTGTCTAGCTGGTACCTGACTTAATTCTTTTATTTTCTTTTTGTCTTCATTATTATCAGATTTACAGTTGTTTACACTGTAGCTATCAATGCAGCCTAAGTGCACTTTATAGTCTTTAGGGGAATATGAAATAGTTGGTTGTGATCCTCAGCACCAGCTGACTTGGTTTATGCAGGAGAACCAAATGTCACAGATACCAGCCCACAGAAACCAGAAAGACTGAATCACTCTGTTTTTCATCTGTCTCTGCTTTGACCATTTGGATTATTATATCTATTTTTTTTCTTAGCACCTGCTCTGCAAGTTAAAAGCGTGAGGTAAGCCCAAAGTTCAGTTACCTCTCTTAAAACCGAGCGATCCGCCCCAAAATTATTCACTTTATTGAAAGGCCTACCCTGTAAAAAGAAAAATAAAGTAACTGTATTATCTATAAATCACAATTTGTGAAAGACTGAATTTACAGAAACAAACTGTTTTGCTTTGCTGGTCCGAAAAGTTGTATCGGAATACAGAGAGCTTATTAAAGAGCTGCCAGGAGACCAAAACGACTTGCGGGCTGGGGCTGAATAAGGTCTCTGATATGGCGTGGGACTCAGCTGCAGGACATGGGCAGTCCTTGTTTGACCCATGTCACTCTAACCTGGTTGCACAAAAGCTTCACAGAGTAAACCCTTCAGTGCTCTAAAGGGGTTTTTAGATTGAAGAGCGTATAGGACTGACTGTGCTGTAGCAAATTGCAAGCAGTTTGGGTTTAGTGCCTTTGAAACCTCGATCCCTGACAACTTTGGCTGAAATTGGTCCACAGATTTCAAACACTGCTGGAGATAAAGAGATGATGGATGACACCCTCACTCAGGAGACCAGGCAAACTCAAGAGCTGTCTCGGAACTTCTTCTGGCAGTAAGTCTGAATCTCCAAAGCAGAGGTTTCCATTAGAGCCCTCCACTCCGAAACAGTAGGAATATTTCCAGGCTTCAGCTCTGCAGGGGTACACAAATCCGACCCCATCACTCACTTTTCTCTGTCACTGTAAGGTCTGCCTCAGCACTTCTATGGGTCCATCACCCAAAGCTAGCTGGTAGGTAGGGCATGCAGATCAGCTAGAACAGACATGCTGTAAACTCAGAACAAACCTTTATGAGGATTTGATTAAATACTCCTTGCAGCAATTCAAATGTTAGTTTTGACTGGGCCACACACAGAAAATCATAAAATACACCAAGAAAGCTTCTTCTGGCTCTGCCAAACCCACTAGACATATTGCTCGAACGTTCAGGGTTTCCAAATGAAAAACACGAAGCTCGAATAAACATTCCTCAATAACCTGCACAAACCGATCAGCTGTCTGAAGCTTGCCCAGCAGTAGTCATCTGGATTGCTTGTGACTTGCAGCTATAACCATTGACGTGCAATTGTGTAATGTGTGAAACGGGGTTACACCTCTCAGCTCTTCCACAGGCTTTTCTCCTCGCTGCTTGCTGCCATACACAAATTTCCAACTAAGCAAATTTACGTTAAAACTTTTTCTGATACTTTTTAGTAAATATAGCCAAAAAGCTTTCTGGGACAGATCAGATGCTGGGAAATACTTACGCAACAATCCCTGAAAGGTGAAACATTTCAGCGGTGAGGTAGGAAAGATAGCTGTACAGGAAGACAAAGAACGGTTCAATGACACGGATATCCTTAGTGAATCGCGTGGTAAAGGCGGCGGTCATCCCAAAACTAAGACCTACTAAAACTCCTCCTAACCCAACCACAAAGAATTTTCCAACTCCAGCAAAAACATCCACACTTTTGATGGTTGGCATTTCACAGAAAGATCGAAATAGCTTGTAAAGCACCTGCATGAAAAATGAAAGAGGAAAATCAGCCATTAACAAGTTATTCACCAGACGTGGCTATATGTAGCAATGACATTAAAATACACTGCTGGGATTTCTGCGAGTGCAGGGTCAGCATCCTTCTCTGAAGGTCAAGCTCCTACCAGGGGACTGCTGTGGCACTCACGTGCATTTCTGTCTCCAGACATAGAGTGGAAGACATGTTCACGTGAAAGCTTCTCAGGACCTCAGGTCAGAGAAGTGGACCAGGATACCTCTGCTAGAAGAGGCTGTTGATGTCTTTTCCCTCTGCAGATCTCACGTCCCACCTCTCGCCACCAGAGCATCCTTCCTCTGAACACTAAATACTCAAAATAAAAGCTAGTCCTTACCACTGTCACCGCGTCATTCAGGAGCGATTCACCGAAGACCAAAATGTGTAGCTTTTCATTGACGTGTATCTCTTCAAAAACCGCTAGCACCGCCACGGGATCCACGGCAGCGATCAGGCTGCCAAACAGGAGGTTGTGGAGCAACGACACGTCCTGCAGGTGAAAGGCTTTCACCTGGCAGATCCCATACAGGGAAAAGCCAATCCCAAATACATTCCATATTGTCCCCACAACTGCATAGAGGAGGATAGTGCCGATGTTCTCAAAAAAGGGACGGCTGGGCATGAAGTACCCTGCATCAAGGACGATGGGTGGCAGCAGGTAGAGGAAAAAGATGTCACTGTCCATAACAGGCGGTGACTTGTCATTCAAGCCGTAGATGATTCCCCCCATGATCAGTCCTACAAATATCAATAAACAGCTTTCGGGAACAACGGAAGGCAGCTTGTTATATAGATGAAACCCTGGAAAAGGGTGAATAGGAAAAAAAAAAAAAAAAAAAAAAAAAAGAAGAAGAGTATTACCTCATCAGCCCAAATTGGCTGAAGAGCACCAGGCAGCTTCTGGTTAGGGTGAGGAAGCTCCCCATGCTCCCTCCTTCAGCAGGCTATGCTTTGGAGTAACAATAATAAATGCACACAATTAAGATGAAGTTGCTTAATCACAAATTGGCTAGAAAATCTGAAAGGTTACTGAAAATACCAAACTTCCTAATATTACTGTTGGTTTTACTGCTGGTTCAGACTTCATTTCATCAAAGCATAAGGTTAAAGATATATTTTTAAGTAATATAAAAATAGAAAAACTAAATAATCTGCATAAATGAAAAAAAAGTATTTGGATGTAATCTAGTTAGCAGGCCATCTTCAGCACTAACATAAATAGCAACCATTAATTTTAAACACAATACAGATTTTATACATCAGATTAAAAAAATCACAAAAAGTATTACCTTTAGTTATAAATGGTGACACTTTTAACATTGTTTCATCATTAACAATTAAAAATAAGGCAACACTGAAAAAAGTCCAATCAAGCCAGCCTTGTGCAACACCCAATGTAAAGAGAGAAACGCTGACAACCACAAGTAGTCAAGGTGAGTTATTAAAAGAAAGAAATTGAAACAAACCCAACTTGAATAGGAATAATAATAAAAAAAAAAAATCTGTGATCATTATTAATTCTTCATGCACGTTAATAGAGTTGAGATCTCACCATATAATATGCAGAACAGCGAAACGAAAAGACCATTTCCATCTGAAAGAAATTCTGATCTAAATGAATCTCAGAGACTTCTCCCTTCTGAGGAAAAAAAAAATCTATAAAATAACTTTTATAGCAGTAATTTAACAGAAGTGATCACAACTCCTGGAGAAAAAAAAAATATATATATAATTTCCTTTTTTCTATGCCCATTTTTGCAGGGGAAAAAATAAGACAGGTCCAAGTTATACAAAAATATAATTTCTTAGGTGTCATTACATAGATAACCTCCTTGATACAGAGAAATTTTATTTTAAGCAGTATAACACCCCACATATGGACTGAATTACTCTGTGTGGCTGGCCAGATGCAGCACCCTTTTTTAAGCCCAAGGAGCCTTCATTTTAAGATGAAGATGTCAGTGGACAACCTGCATGTAGTGTAGCTGGCAAGCTAATTGAGATGGATGCACACCTTGGTGTGTACTGACGCCAAACAAAATTCCTGGAAACCCTGATGGTTTTCCTACTAACAGCAACACCATGCACAGGTGTAAACTTCTAGATGGAAAACCATCACTTCCAACCTAGAATGCAACTGGGTAGTTATTTTCCATGTGTGTAGTATGTCTGGCACACAATATGTGCATCCTTAGGACGTGCCGTGTTATCTCAGGCTCCAAGATTGGTGAAGCAAAGGCCACCCCTGCCCACACCATCTCCAAGGAGACTCCTGCCCTTCCTCACCCTCTCAAGATGCCTTACCTATTTTGGCCAAGGATGCAAGCATGATCCAGAGTGTGATTTCAAAGGGGACTTGAACATGTTGATAATCCAGAGAGAAAAACGTGTGCTCTGAGGATTCGTTGCCCTGGGCTTCCTCAGCAGCCCAGCTGATGTTCTCCGGGATCACTTCCTCCAGCAGCGGCATCAGTGGAGAGCCCTGCAGGGCTTTGACCCTGGTGGCTTGGAGAATGGAGGAGAGCAAGGACCCAGCTAGGAGAGCAGCTGCAGCTTTGCACTCTGGCCTCTGCCCCTCCATCTGCCCTGGAAACCTCCTGCTGTGGCAATTTGGCTGCTCCCACTCTCACTGCTGCGGGCGAGTGGTTGGGAGTGCTGCTGGAGACAGTGGAACTCAGGTCACCCTCGTTGTGTGGGTTGCTGCAAAGAGAGGAGCAACCGCTCCGCCTCACCCTGACTCTCCTCCCTGGTCCATTAGTTTCCGGCTGGGAGACTCTGCTGGAGAATTGCACCCTTTGGCACCACACACCCAAACAGGCAGAGGCTCCTCCTGCAGATGCTTCCCTGAAGAAACGTGTGCTGTGCCCTTACATCAACTGCACATCTGTGCATGCTCCAGAAAGAGACAAGTTGCATTTTAGTCCTAACCCTTGACATATTTTGGGTTCCAGTCTCTCAGAAACCCTTCTTGGAGGGGAAAAAAAAATAAAAATCTTCACTGCTGTTAGAGCAGCCAGGCTTTGATGGAACAGGTCTCAACCAAAACAGCCCCATCCAGAAAGGGACCCGTCTTACAGTGGGCTTCACTGGATTTCTCATCTGCAGTCCAGTGCCCACAGAAAGAACACACAGCGGTAACATTATTGATAACCACAGCTTCCATTTGATAAATCAAGCAAAGCAACCAGCTTTCTTACGCTAAATACAGAGCTGCATCGTTGTGCTGGATGGAGGTCACCTGTACTGAAAGAATAAGTTTCAACAATTGCTTAAAGCTTCTTCCGATTATAAGGGCTAACAGGAAAAGTTATCTTCATCTCTCTTCACTACTTGAAAATGGCACTGAAAATTGAGTGAGCTTGCTTAGAAAGGTTGGACAGACAAAAATAAAAAGTTATTCGCTACAGTGTTGGATGTATTAATAATACAGATGGAAAAAAAAACAAACAAAAAAACCCAAACCCAAAACCAAAAACATTTTGGGCTAAATTCCTCCACTGTGGAGTTTCATGTGAGTTGATGATGTTTCAACTGGGATGAATTTGGTCCAAAGAACACATGTAATTAAAGTATGGAGGCCCCAGGCTGTTGCTAGACTGATCGATGGCCTATTTGCTTCTCTTCAGCTGCCTAAATGACACCAAAATTGAGCTGCAAATAACAAGCTGGTGACCCACTTTTCGGCTGTGAAGTCAAAACCCAACATCACGCAGCCACAGATCCGGAGTTTCTCAGTACCACGTAAGGTCCCTGTTTCTGGTCTGATTTGCAAAGCAGGAGGAGGATAAACTTTGGGAGACAGGAGAGATGCAGTGATACACTCCAGGAGTGACTTCATTCTACTTTACCATGGTTAATTTGAATTTATAGCGTGCCTTTACCACACTTGCTGACCATAAAGCAAAGCAACACTCTTCTAATTAGAGTGGTCTGTTAGCAAACTAAGCTTTTTAAACTTGGTGGAACTTCTCCCTTTTTATATTTGAACTATAAACAAAACTGCAGGACACACGCTTGGAGGACAGAAATCCCACAAGGTGTTCCTCCATCTTTGTTCCGTAGTTCAGTTCTATAGGGTCTGAGATGGGGAGGAGAGGAAGAGGCGAGGAGATGGGATCCCTTGTTACTCTGAAGGAGGGAGAATACAGTGCTCTTAACTGCAATTAAGAAGTAACTAAGAAATTACTCAGCCAGAGCTAAGAGCAGTGGAAGCAGTTCTGAGCCTGGGCTCACATGCCAAGCCATCATATTCCCTCTTTCTGCTGAAAAATTTGGTGCTGAACTTGGGAGTTTGAAGACTGGTTCCATTTGGGGACACGGAAAAGGAGTTTTGCCAACTTCCCATTCCCCTCCACCCGCAAACCATCCATTTTGATTTTTGCTATTTTCAGGAGAAAGTCAAGGAAGTTAGTATTCACTTACACTTTCCTTAAGCCAAAAATGAAATGTTTGCATCTTAGACGAAAAAAAGACCTGCAGCATGGAGCTCAATAGCACTATCTGGAAAATGTTTTTGCACGTAGAATCAATATCGATTTGATAATGGAACCAGAAAAAAACAGCAGAGTTGGGACAGTGCCTGAGGAAGGTCAAGGGAGAGGATCACATTAAAATATGCTCCATTTTTCGAATGAAGTTAATCTATAAAATCAGGACGTTAAGGACTAAGCAACAGCTAACAGGTGTTAACAGAGGGGCAAAGAGCCTGAGCCAGTACCCTGTGCAGAGCTTTTAATGGCCCTGTTTCACTGGCTTTCTGTTCTGCTCCTTTCCGCAGGGACGGCTGCAGCCCTGCAACAAGCTGCACACAGACGGATCACCCGCAAAGCTTCCAGCATCTCCTGAAAAGCTCCATCGCCCTTCCCAGCCCAGTGACCGGCTCGCCGTACCTCGACCTGTGCAAGGATAACGAAAGGCTCGTTGCAAATATTTTGGACATCGTACTTCATTGCAGTCAAAACCCTGAGGTTGCTTTTAGCATTTTGAAACTCCTCATTTTTCTTTTTTGCATTGTTTTACCCTAAAGTGCTATGTAACTAAGCTTGCTCCTTCCCTTAAATTCTTATATGTATCCCTGTTCATTATATATTAGTTATAAATAAATGAAAAGACAAGATGTTTTTCCCAAGTTCTATGGTAACACCGTACATGTTATTCCTCTTGTAATGGCTATTGATATTATTGAGCCACTTTTTAATGCGAGTACCATTTGATCATATATTTATTGACATGCTTTCATTTTTTTCTAATGTAATGTGCTTTCCCACATTTTTAGGGTTCCAGGCTAGAATCTGATCCCTCTGATTGTATTGATGGGTACCTTGCTCCTGCTGGAGTAAAAAGGACTTTGAGAATAACAAAGTATTCTGTGATATGGTAACAATGACCAGAGTTCAGGCTCCTGCAATAAAAATGTTACATTGAATTAATTGTTTAAAGTCCTTATATTCCTTAATCAATGGCAGCACATTATTTTTCTTTACTTACTTTGAGAGCGAAAGGAAAGATGTGAAATACTGTCTTTTACATTCCTGATGTGTAATTACTTCTAAGTATACTCTAACTCCTCCTTTTCATTAGGAATGCATGTATCATTTAACAAAAAAAAAAAATTGTAAATTAAATTTCGATTTACATCACCTCCTGAAATTCATACATCAACCACTGAAATTTATGAAAGAAACTTGAATAAGCTCTTGCTTTATATGAGGGGAAAAAAATAATATGCAGTGCACCTCTTTTGCTACAGTACCGCAAAGGCTTTCCATGTTATTTGGGCCTCAAATGAGGAAATCATTTAAGCATTTACTCAACTATAAGCACTCAAGGTTCCACAGCTTACAGTTATTAACACACGAAAATCCTGTGTTGGATTGGGGCCTCCCAGAAACACCCAGCCCGGAGAACCACGTGCTAGAATACTCCCCAAAAATTTGCCAGGCTCAAAACTCATTGGAGGTTATCCCTGCAGGAACTCTTGGCTTCGTCAGGGGAAACCCTTCAGTGTGCCACACAGAACTCTAGGGATTTTGGTTAGAGATAACCCAGATGATTTTTGAGATCACCGAGATGGTGTTCTAGTGTTACCACCTTCCCCCCCTCTTTTCCAAGTACACCTTTTTTCTGCTTACCCTAAAAAAAATAATCTTCCCTTTTGCACAAAGCAGCCAACAGATTTCGTTAAAAACATCCTGCTCCACAAGCAAATTATTGTCCAGGAGCCTCTCCAAAAACCCTAAACCAGGGTGGCAGTTTGGCTCCCTCTCCACCCCTCACACTGAGCAAAACTTCAGCTATACATACCTCCTCATTGGAGATGGTTCTGCACTGTAACATATACAGCTCTCCAACAAAAGCTGTGGGACACACATAGAAAAGCTCCTAAAAAATTACCTCTACACTCCATCTAATCAGCTCGTTGTGAAAAGATAAGATATAAGCGTTAATGATGTCTACATTTGGTATGTGAATATGATTTTTCCCCACTAGAACGGCCATTTGTTTACATGCATTATCTAAAATTCGAAGGAGAAACTGTGCTCATCTATTAATGTGCAAAATCTCTTTTTTCCCCCATACGAATGGAAACTGCTCATATTTTCATATATAATCACCTTATTTTTCAGTTTCTCCTCCTCATTGCCTGCATTTTCCATGACATTCTAATAGGCCGCGTGAAGACTGCACATGAAATACTGATCTTCTTTCTGAAGAAGCCAGGACAGAAGAGTACATATTTCCATCCATATGCAACCCTGCGAGCAAAGGCAGAAGACACGCAAAGCAGATGGGCAGTTTAGCAAGAAGACTTAATCGGAACTGAAATTAAGACCAAGCCCCTCATCACACTTCCCTTGCTGGAAAGGACTGCACTCGCAGCTATTCTGGACAGTAAGAATGGAAAAACCCTTAAAATTCAAAGCCATAGCATGAGTTTTTCCTCAGTACATCACAGGCCATGAATATATTGAGAAAGTAACTTTGCGTTGCAGTGAGCTGGACGAATTGATGCGCTGCTTAACTCACGCGCACCCCACAGAGCCCAGGCAGGAATGCATTTTTAATTTAACATCAGGGACTTCATTCAAGAACCTGGTTTTAACAAGAATTCGAACAAAATTACAGTGAGGAAATTCAATATTAATAAGAAAGATTCAATATTAATAAGAAAGATTCAATATTAATAAGAACTGAGTGATGAAGGATAAATCAAAAGGCGGCGGCATTCTCTGTACCCACACTCTCATGAGGAAGCTGCAGAGAATGTATACAACACCAGATTTTGTGGTTCATTGCATAACATTTTGCCAACTTCAAAATCAGAGATTTATCATTGATACCTTGCCTAAACGGAGACAGTTTGACAAATACTCCCTCCCGTATCAACGTCAGGAAGATCCAAAAGATCTATATTCTCCTTGCCTTGCACCTGCTCTTTTTCCATACAGCTCCCATACAGTTTCCATACTG